GTCCAGTTTGGGGATAACAGTGATGCTGGCTTCCAGAAATGAGTTTCGCAGGATTCTCTCCCATTCAATTTCATTAAAGTGTTTGAGGATTACTGGTGTTATAACCTCCTTAAAGATCTTGTAAAATTCAGCAGAGGACCCATCAGGTCCTAGGCTTTTCTTAGTTGGTAGGTTTTTTTATTACTGTCTTAATTTCATTGCTTGCTATTGAAGTCTTCAGAATTTTTATGTGTTCTTGGTTCAGTTTTGGTAATTCATATGTATCTAGGCATCTGTCTATTTCTTCAATATTTTCCAATTTGTTGGGAGTACAAATTTTTTTTTTTTTTTTGGTATTGAGAATCAAACTCAGGACCTTGCACTTGCCAGGAAGGTGCTGTGCTGCTGACCTATATCACCAGCCTGGGAGTACAATTTTTTTATATGCAGTAATTTCTGTCTTTTGTAGTGTTCATAGCAATTTTGCCTTTTTCATTTCTAATGGCATTGATATGATTCATTTGCCTCTTTCTTTTGGTAAGTTTAGCTAATAGTTTATCTATTTTGTTTATTCTTTCAAAGAACCAGCTGTTTGATTCATTGATTCTTTATACTGTTTTTTTTAGTCTCAATTTCATTAATTTCTGATCTCATCTTTGTGAGTCTCTGATTAAACTAGGTCTGGGTTTGGATTGTTGTTATTTTTAGGGTATGCTGATGTCCATTATTAGGTTATTTATTTGAGCTCACTCTGTTTTTACAATGTCAGCATTGACTGCAACAAACTTCCCTCATATGACTGCTTTGGTTGTGTGCTGTAGGTTCTGCTATGTTGTTTTGGTATTTTTGTTTGATTCCAGAAATTGCTTAATTTCTTCCTGGATTTTTTTTTGCAACCCACTGATTGCTCAGAAGTGTTTTATGAACTTTCCAGATATTTATAAATTTTCTGTGGCTTTTGTGATTTTTAGTTTCAAGGCACAATGGTCTGATGGTATATATGGGGTGATTTCAATTGTGTTATATTTATTTAAGCAGGTTTTGTGGGCTAATATGTGATCTACTGTGGAGAAAGTTCCATGTGCCTTTGAATTGAATGTATATTCTGATGTAATAGAGTAGAACACTCTGTAGATATCTATTAAGTCCACTGGTTCAAAGGTGTGGTTCAGCTCTGATCTTTGTTGATTTTTTCTTTAGTTGATCTATGTGAAAGTGGAGTTTTGTTGTCATCTACAATGACTGTGTTGGTGTTTATTTCATCTTATATGTCCAATGATATTTGTTTTATGGAGTTAAGTACTCCAATATTTGGTGCGTGTATATTTACAAGTGTTATCTCTTCCTGTTGAATTATTTTAAGTAGTAAGTAGTAACCTTAGCCTCTTCTGCTCAGTTTTAGCTTAAAGTTTATTTTGTTTGAGTAACATTGCTAGCCCTGCTTGCTTTCAGGGTCCTGGTGCATGAAATATTTTCATCCTTTGATTTTTAGTCTCTGAATTTCTTTTTGGATTAAATAAATTTCTTAAATGCAAAAGACTATTGAATTCTGTTTTTTAATCCATTCTGCAAATCCGTGTCTTTTCATTGGGGAGTTGAAGCCCTCTACACTGGGAGTTATTTCTTACAGGTATTGATTTATTTTGGGTTTTTCTTTTTCTGTTGATGACTCCTTTATTTTTCCTTTTTTCATGGAACCATTTGCCTTGTTTGTTGTATACATTCCATATAAATTTTTGGCTTTCTTATCTCTCTAGGATGTTTTTCAATACTTTCGGAGTGCTGGTTTGGTGTGCATGTACCTCTTAAACTATTCATTGTCATAGGATGTCCTTATTTCTCCATCTATTTTGAAAGAAAATTTTGCTGGATATATTAGTCTTGCTTGTAAGTTGTTTGTGTTTAAGCTTTAAAATACTTCATCCCAGATTTTACTGGACTTGAAAGTTTGTGTTGAGATGTCTGCTGTAATCTCAATGGTTTTACCTAGCATTTTCATACCAGAGAGAAGACTTTTGAATGTTAAAACATGTGGAAAAGCCTTTGGCCCAAAGCAGCTTGTCATTAAACAGCAGAATACCCATATTGAAGAGAAGCTTTTTGAATGTAACAATTATGAAAAATCCTTTAGCCAGAAGGAAAACCTCTTTTTTCAACAGAAAATTCACACTGGAGAGAAATCTTTTGAGTGCAAAGATTATGGAAAAGTTTTCATTTAGAAGTCAAAGTTCATCAGACACCAGCGAACTCACATGGGAGAGGAGCCCTTCATATGTAAGTAGTGTGGTAAAACCGTTAGTGGCTAATTGAATCTTACTGAGCATGAGAAAATTCAAATCGAAGGGAAACCTTTTAAATGTAATGAACCAAATAGCTTTTTCCCAGAAGTACCTCATAAAGCATCAAAACATTCACATGGAAGAAAAACCCTATGTATGTAATAAGAATAGAAAAGCCTTCTCTCAAAGTTCATCTCTCACTGTGCTTGTGAGGATTCATTCAAATGATAAACCTTACGAAGGCAATGTATGTGGAAAAGCCTTCTGTCAGCATTCATCTCTCACTGTCCATGTGAGAAGCCAACACGTGAGAAACCCTATGATTGTAAGCGATGAGGGAAACCTTTCTCTCAATTTTCAGCTCTGTTTCTGCATTTGAGAATACACAGAGGTAAGAAACCTTATCAATATAGTGAATGCGGGAAAGCTTTCTGCCAGAGGTTGCACCATATTACATGCCAGAAAATTCATATCCATTAAAAATATCTTCTAAATGAGAAAATATATACCTAGATTTTGCATTTCAAAGTGCAGCAAAACAGTTATTTTAAAGCAGAGCACCACAAGCGAGGTGAGCTATAACAAATGCTTAAAAACTGACAGAACACCAACAATGCAAACTGAAGAGACATTTGTATGCTGAAAAGAATGCTAACCCCCACCCCAAGAAAAAATACAACAAAGGTAACACTGTAACTTTAGATGCATTTCCCCAAAATTGGGAACAGAAAATAGAGGCCGTTACTACTTTCAGCAAAAATCTGGAGATCTTCATTACTTCAGTTTAGTAAGAAAAATAAGGTGTAAATATTAGAAAAAGAAAAAAAAAGATACAGAAATTCCTTATTTAACAACCAAGGTGCTGTGATTAGGTCATTAATTGGTAGGTAAATGAAGAATTGTATATAGTATATACAATATTATAATATTCAGATATTCATAGTATTTACAGTATTACCATATTCAGAACAAATGGTCAGATATTCCAACTCGATGAATTTACTTTTATTTGTATAACTCTTAACATGTAGTACTGTAATGTATAACAGAATACAAAACTATAGTACTGTACAATCACCAAAAATTACACTACCATATAAACAAGATGTACTTTACAAAGAAAGACATTCAGGTTCTACAAACAAGATGTACACAACCATATACAAAAAGACAGGTTGTAATTCCAAGCAGTGGGTTGTAAGTCCAAACACAGTACCTCAGTGGTAAACCTGAATGGTCGTTAAACAGGTAGGTCATTAAATGAGGAATATCTGTACTGCATATGGTCATCTATAAATAAGTAGCCTTTGTAATAGTGACTCAGTAGAGCAGAAGAGATTCCAGATAGAGACCTAAGCATTAATTAGAATGTGGAACATGAAAGAAATGGAATTGGGAGATAAGGAAATAATAAGGCGTTCAGAAAATATTTGGAAGTAATTTGCCCTCTGAGAGGGGAGAACAGCACAAAAGCAAAATCCACAGGGATTAAAGACATAAATATGAAAAGCTTGTACACTATTAATGTTTATCACCTGTGGAGTGGGGAAACTATTCCCTATAACAAATTTAAAAATACATAGTAATTCAAGTTGTGTGTATGCTGAAGAAATACAAACCAGGAAATTTAAAGTGTCTTAACTTGTAGTAGTGAGGTACTGGAAGTAACTTAAGTGCCCATCAAGAACAAAATGGAAAATTCTTATGATGGAATACTATACATACAGGTATAAAAATGCAACAGATAAGATCACATGTATTAACAGAAAAATCAAAAAAATGTTGAGGGAAAAATCAAATTCCAAAATGATGCATCTGGTATGACTTCTCTTACAAATATGACTTCAATCTTCCTGCATGAAGTTCAATACTTTATATTGGTAAAGGATACAAATGTGTGTGTAAATGAGTCGAAACTCTTGCTAATGGTGGCCTCGTACCCACAGAAGTCATGTTATGACGGATTAATGCCCAATCAAACACTAAACTTTATAAAAATGATTTCTAAATTTTTATCAACAGTGAATGCACTTTCACTCTACGTAATATGAAATTATCTATTAAAATTAAAACCGACAAAAATAAAAGCATGTAGTCAAGCGACACTATTAAATAAGTACATCAGAAATAATTTACAAACAAAATTTTCCAAATACTAACATCTCCTTGGCGTGTTCCAAATATAAAAGCACTTATTGTAAAAAAATACTACAATCGAACATTTATACGTCTATTCTTACTATACATCAGACGCTGTGCCAAGTATTTTGCAAACGCCAAGTCCTGCATACTTTGGGGGGTTCCAGGGTACGAACTAACCAGCCCGCGCCTCTGGGGAGCGACCGCCCGGCCGGAAGTCTCTCCCACAGCGCCTGAGGTCCGTGGGCGCCTTTCAGCTCCGCGGGCTCGGGCCCTGGTGCCGAGTGGGAGAAACAGCCCCTCGCGCGCTCACGTAGCTCCTCTAGGGCGTTCCCAGCCAGCTCTACGTAGGGCTCTACGCGTTAAAATCTGCGGATAACAGCCTCTGGGCTGGCTGTCCCGAGGGCGACGACGCCACCCTAGCCGCTGACAGGGCTGCCAGCAAACAGCAGCAGCTACCTCCCGAGGGCCGGGTCACAGGACAACCCCCTCGCGGCGCCCCGCGCTCCGGGCACTTACTGCGCTCGAGCGCACAGCGGCCAAGGAGACCGGATAGCAGCTCTCCTCGTGGCTCAGCGCCAGCCAATCAGCGCGGCCGAGGGCGGAGCTTCTCGGGGAGCCAGGGCGGCGGCGAGCGACTTCCGGCAATATTGCTTATGCGACGCGGTCTGTGTGCACCCAGGTCGTCGTGCGTCCGGTGGGGACCACAGGTGAGGACAGGGCCGCTGCGGTTCCAGGAGAGGAGGGAGCCGCGGTCGCGCCGGGTGGGGAGGGCCTCCGGCTGGGAAGGGGTGTCGGGCCCGCGCGAGGCGAGGGGGCTTCCGGAGGGGAGGCTCCCCCAGGCCACCCTGGCTGAGCCTGAGCCCCGACTCCGCCGCGTCCCCCTGTGCTCCGCTGGGCCCTCCGCGGGCCTCGGATCCTCCGCCTCCCTCTCGAGTCCCGCCCCCCAGGCGTCTGCAGCGAGGCCCAGGTTTCTTTTAGGGGTCTGCCCTTCCACGCCCTTGCCTGGGAGGTCTGCCACGGCGCGACCCCACTCCTCCAGGTCGTCAAGGGCCTGCCTGCCGCTTCTCTAGCGTCTTCCCTGCTGTTTTTCTCGCAGGTGACTCTTGAGGATTTTGCATCTTCCCCTCCTAGTGAGCGCATTTTGACCTTTCCAGTTCAGTTCCGTCTCCACCCCTGGACCTGTGCAGACCCATTTTGTGCTCAACTGGGGATCCAGAGAACCATCTTCTCCCTAAAGCGCTCTTCCTGCCAGGATCAAATCCTTCTCATACGACCTTTCTGAGAAAAACATGTTTTTCCATACTCTTTCCTGATACATTTCTCCCACTTCTGTGAAGTATCTGTAATTATCTCTCAAGCCTTTTTGGTGTAAATCCCATTTCTAATATTCAGCTCGCAGTTTGCAATTTTTGATGTCCTTTCTGGATCCTATGTGTCCACGTTTAGAAACCCTTTGACCCTAAATTATTTGTCTTTAAGTGTTTGGAAATACTGTAATATGTGTAGCTGTTGCTTGATATGCTCAGCATTTTTTATTTCTTACTTTTTGTTTTTGTCTTTTTGAGACAAGGTTTCACTATGCAGTTCAGGCTGGCCTTTAACTCGCTTTGTAGCCCAGACTGGCCTGGAACTCTCATAGATCCTCCTGCTTCAGCCTCCAGAGTGCTGGGATTACAGATGTGCACCACTACACCTCTCAGCATTTATTGTTTTTGAAAATGAATTTAATAACTGCTGTTAGGGGTCGGGGATACAGCTCAGCAGCAGGGCACCTGCCTAGCAAGCCCTAGGTTCTGAGTTTGATTGCCAGTTTAAAAAAGAAAGGAGCTGGGTATTTAGCTCAGTGGCACAGTGCCTGCCTGGCAAGCAAAAGGTTGTGAGTTTGATTCCCGCTGCAGAAAAAAAATAAAAAAGAAACGAACTTACAGTTTTGATTTCTGTCTTGTTTTTCTTGTTTTAGTGCTTTTATGTTTAGATTGATCATTACTTTAGAGATCATATTGGTAACATACAAGATTGTCATGATCTTCCCTTTTGAGAATGAAGGGAGAGGGAAGAGATAGGAACATAGAAAAGGAATTAGAATGTATTATGTCCGTCTACCAACCCCGCACAAAGAATGTGAATATTACGTACTGCAAATACATACTAATAAACTAAAATTTAAAAATAAAATCATACATACTAAAGAAAAAACCTTGAAAGCCTCTTTAAATTGCAACTTCCTTTTTTAAAAATTGAACCCAGTCTCACACATGCTAGGCCAGCACTCTACCACTAAATTACATCCTCAGACCTATTACTGTCTTTACGTAAATCTGCTTCTAGAGTCTGTCCCTTAGTTCATGATTATACAGATTATACTGTAAAATATAACCCTGTGATTCAAAGAACAAACTATAACAAATCTGTGAAATATACACATCTACACAGGAATAGAAACATCTGGGGTATGGGCCTATTCTATTTCCATGATCCATTTTTTACGTTGCACTCCTGCCAGTCATTAAAAAGAAAATCAAATACTTAGCCAAAATATTCAGACTGAGCTATATCATTTTCCACCAAGTTGTTAAAGTCAAAATGAATTACAGTATGTGTAGAGTTGCAAATATAAGTTGGTTATATTATTAGAAGTGCCATACTGGCTCTTTATTTTGCATGATGTTTTTAAGATTGATTTTTGAAGCCAAGAGATAAGTGTACTAAATGGGAAGTGGGCATTGTGTCTGTAAATTGACTGCAATATTTGTGTGTCATCAAGCTTTATCTGTTTATTTTTGGTACCAGGAATCCAACTCACAACCTCACACTTGCCAGGCAGGTGCTGTGCTGCTAGGCTATATCCCTGGCCCTGTTATCAAGGTTTAAAATAATTTGTTAGCCAAGGATGCAGTTTGCAAAAGACATAAGTAGTAAGTATCTGTTGTGTAAGATTTTTTTATTCTCTTCTGCCTATACTGTTGTACAGTCCCTATAAAATGGTCATTTTGCTAAACAACACTAATGCATTGCTCAGAAACGTTTATTCAGAGAATAGAATCCAAACATCTTTGATCTCAAAATTTTTCATGACCTGTGCTTGGTGATCTTTCCTACCAACCCCTGCTGACCCCCAAGAGTTCTCCATCTCTGCCCATCTGTTCTGCGTATTTTTCTCAAATTTGTCACATAAATTCTGGCCTTACACTCTTCACCCTTCTTAGCATATCTTCACCCACTTGGTCCTGAACTGTTGGTGTTCCTTGGGGTCTTTCTTTGGCCTGGGGCATACTCTGTGAAATTTTTTTCATTCCTTTGATTACTGTGAATGCTGATGTTTTTCCTGTATTACTCCTAGCCTCATTCTATGCCATGGGATCTATGCATTCATTCATTCATTCATTCCGTAAATAGAGTGGTAACTGGCGTTGTTCAAGGTAACTGGGGTACAGAGCTGGACAAGATGTTGTATTCTCTTGGAGGAGAACAAAGGCTAAAAACAGATGATTCCAGATGGCCCTTGTTGTGATGCAAACACTAGGTAATAGCAGAGATTGATGGGTTGGGATCCAGGCAGCAGAAGAGAGCATTTGCCCAGGGTGGTCAGGGAAGGCTTTGTGGGGATGGGGCTATTTAAATCTGCAGTGCTAGTCCTTCCCCCAAATAACTGACTTTTAATTTGGTCTGAGCTGGAGCTATACACTTGTAAGTTTAAAGATTTCCAGACTGTGATGTCAGTGCAGTTGAAAACCACTGACCAAGAGGAAGGGAGATATAGTCAGTGAGAAGAACTAGTATGTGAGGTCTATTTCTTATCAAATTGTAAGTAAGCTTCATGAGGATATAATATTTATGTATCTTTTTTGTTTTTCTCTTTTCGTTACTGGAGATTGTACTCAGTGCCTCATGCATGCAAGGCAAACACTACTACTGAGCTACATCCCTATTCCCTTCCTTTTTTTTCTTTTTTCTTTTATTTTTAGCAGTGTATCCCTAAGCTTTCCAGGATGGCCTTGAACTTGAAACCTTCCTGCCTCAGTCTCCCACGTAGCTAGGATTACAAGCACACATCACCATGCCCACTTTGTTGTACCATATTTATAGGTCATAATTTTCATAACTGGATTTTACTATATGAAACTTAATAGCACATCCAAAATGGAAATCAACATCTCCTATCCCTCACCCCTTGCACAAGCCCACTATACCTTCTGCAGTAGGAATTTGGATGTCTTCTATGACTTCTTCCCTGCAAGGCCCATCCCAGAGTGCTGTCTGCTCCACCTCCCAGGGTTTTTTTTGTTTTTTTTTTTTTTTTGTTTTCTGGTACTGGGAATGGAACTCACGACCTTGTGCTTGCCAGGCAGGCACTGTGCTGCTGAGCTAAATCCCCAGCCCCTCACCTCCCAGTGTTAATTTAGCCCCTCACTCTCCCTGAAGACCACTTTGTAGCCTCTAGTCCCTGTCTCCAGCCCTCTGTTTCCCTCAGTGCAAACCTGAGTTCCTTGTAAAGCTAAACTCTGATCAAATCACTTAACCTATAAGTCTCTTGGTCCCTTTACTGATCTCAGAATAGAGCCTGACTCCTCTGTCTTATCTGGCCATTATGTCTTCTCACTTCTGGCAATGGCCACTTCCTCTTGGTAAGCCCTACTCCAGGTGGCCTACCTGCTGGTGGTAAATATGAGTGCGTTCCCAGGTATGTTGCCCAGGACTTGTGGCAGTGAGTGTACTCTTTGAAACGATTCTGTGACTCTTGCTTGCTCTTTAGGCAGAAGCTTAGAGGTCAGCTCTGCTAAGCTGTCCTGACACATGCAATATTGAGCACTTACCCCATTTTATCACTTTGGCATGACCAAAGTACTATGTCATCAACACTGTCTCACCACCTGTTACTAGCCAACATTAATGATGAGCAGGTATCAGAATGTTAAGTAGGAAATTCTTTTAAATCAATGAACAAATGCTCTTAATGAAAGGAAAATTTTGTTACTTTTTACATACATATATTTTATTGTAAATTACCTTTTTTGCAGGAGAACCATGCCATTTCTGGGTCAGGACTGGAGATCTCCTGGGTGGAGTTGGATTAAAACTGAAGATGGCTGGAAAAGATGTGATTCCTGTAGTCAGGAGCTTGAAAGAGAGAACAGCCAGTGTACTGTCACTCATGACCTGTAAGTCACAGGCAGCAGAGCATGCCAGCCTGACATTATGGCCTACCTCTTCTTCATGTCCCTGCAGAGTTCCATAACTTATGGTTTTAGAATTGCCCACTAGAATGTGTGAAGTGACTTGCTTTGCTAGAAGGAGCCTGGTGGATTGCCTAATGCTCATGGATGCTCGTTTTTATTATTTAAAACACATAATCCTCACAGTAATCTGGGAGCTAGGAATTACGTTTAATCCCACAGTATAGCAGAGGAACACACAGTTTTGTCGACATATGTCAAGGACATAGTAATAGTGGCTTACGCAAGACAAAAGACCTAAAAGTGTAAGTCATTGTAGTGACATTTGTTGGTGACATTGTCAGGGGCTGAGTGACGTTCTGTCATGTTGCTCTGCTATCCTGAGAGTGCAGCTTCATCTGCAAGTTCTGAGGGGATGTGTCGCCCACCATATCTACATTCCAGCCAGGGACATAGGTGAAACACCATGAGCTACAAATTACACAAGAGTCTGCCTTCACTGCATTGGCTGGACCACTTGCCCCCAGGAGGCTGGTGTAGTGGTCTCTTTTATGTGTGGCCATGTGACTAGATAAAAACCTGAAGATTGCATGACCACAGAAGCAAGGCACTTCTAGTTCTTGTATTTGGAGTGGGCTTTTAAAGTTAGAGCAATGACCATAGTAAAAAATAGTGTAGGTGACGGAGATTCCATGTTAATGTACTTTTTTGTAATCCTCTGGATTGTGTAGTTATGGGTATACTCATAGATTTTACTGAATTTTTTTATTTGATATTTGCATTCTTAGCATTGCATGTTTTTCTGACGGAAGTTTAGCAGCTTTAGATCAGAGACTAGTTTTTGCAGTGTTGGAAGCAGAAATTAATGTTATATTTCAGTTATAGTAAAAATAACATACTATTTATTGAGAATGCTTTGACCTTTTTTTTTTGCCTTTCTGAGTTTTATTTAATATTGATGATGTAAAATTTGTTTGAGGTTGGTAATGCTGTTGGTATTGGGTAATTAATGTTACACAGTTTTAAATTTTCTACATGATTGTCAGAATCTGTGGGGAGGACTGTGGGCCACCCAAGACTGTAGCAGGTATCCAGTGCTTGCTTCCTCCTCAGGAGGACAAGTTGCTTAACTTTGAACCTAGAACTGATAAAAGAAATAAAATCATATGTAATCACCATTTTTATTTTCTGTTATTGGAAATTAAACCTAGGGCTAGGCAAGCACTCTGCCATTGAGTTACATCTCCAGACTTTCAAGTACCATTTTAAGTGGCTCAATAAAATAGCCCTATCTTGCTCCACATGTCTTTGAGAAACAGCACTTCTAGTTCTTGTATTTGGAGTGGGCTTTTAAAGTTAGAACAATGACCATAGTAAAAAATAGTGTAGGTGACGGAGATTCCATGTTAACGTACTTTTTTGTAAACATGCATGAAAATAGACCTTGAAAAGTATCATATTGTTTAGATTCTCTTCATTTTAGAATTGGAGAAATTACCCAGTTCATCCAGCCGCACATTCATTCAACATCATGTTACCGCCCAAGCCAGTGATGCTGCAGCAGATATTAAACCCTCTTCTGAATACTTAGTTCTTTATTGAAGCGGTATTACCCATTGGAACTTATGAAATGTCTTTCTGCAGAACATAGCATGACACACAGAGTTTACCTTGCACCCCTGTAAGTAAGGCTCCTTACTCATAAGATTTGGATGGCAGCAGGGAGTATAAATCATACTCATAAGATTTGTACAGGGGAGGAGAGGACAGCAAACCCAGGTCCAGTGGAAATGGCCAGCACTTGCCAGGCACTGACTGTATGCAGCTGGCAGAGGGTCAAGGAAAGCAAGAGGCCAACGCACTGACTGGACTGACTGGATGAACAGGAAGGAGAGCTCCAAGGACAAAGAGTGCTGTACTTGCTATGTAGTCGTTACTGGTCTTGAACCTGTGAGCCTTCTGCCTCAGCCTCCCAAGTACTGGAATTATAGCCATGCGCTACCTGTAGTTCATGTTGGACGACAGAGCTTGTCTTCAGGAGAGCTGTGAAGTCTTCTCTTCACTGTTTTGGCTGCCCCTCAGTGACCCTATCATCTGAAACCATGAGTTCAGGCATGCCAATCTTACCATCCTCTTAGTCCAGGTTTCCTGACAACTACCTCATCTGCTGACCTGATGTTTCCACTCTGTGAAAGTCTTCTTGTCTCTTTTTGCCAGCTACTAGTCCACGATCTGTTGTTTCAGAGGTGCTCTTCTCAGTATCCTACTTCCATTCCAGTCTTTTCCTTTTTTTGTTTTTTCTTTCTTTCCGGTACCAGGAATGGAACTCACGACCTTGCGCTTGCCAGGCAGGTGCTGTGCTGCAGAGCTAAATCCCCAGCCCCTCCAGTCTTCTTTTTAATATATGATTTACTGGTTTCCACCCTACATCAACCAGCACCTGAATAGTATCTTAGTCTCTTTCTCTCTCTTTTTTATTTGGTCCCAGAAATAGAACTCAGAACCTTGCACTTGCCAGGTAGGTGCTGTGTCACTTAGCAATATCCCTGGCCTTAGTCTCTTTCTCACTGCTGGGACAAAATACCTGACACTCACAAGTTAAAGGAGGAAAGCTCACAGTTTGTAGATATTTCAGTCCATAGTTAGCTGGCTCCAAGGCAAGGTGGCATGGCAGAGAGGAATAGTAGAGGAAAAAGAGTCCATGGCAGGGCAGGCAGGAGGCAGTGAGCCTGCCTTCATTTCCCTTTATATTCCATCCAGGCTACAAGCCTATTGGCTGGTGCCACTCATACCTGGGGTGGGGCTTTTCTCTTCAATAACACCATCACCCACAACTATGCTAAGCCAATCAGTGGACTAATCCAGTTGTTGCACCCATAATCCTGTATCATACGCCCATGATCCAGCCACTTCCAGAAAGCCCCACCTGTGTGTGCAGGAGGCTTTGGTGAGAGTGGGGGCATGTAGCTATAAGCCATAAGAAGCAACAGAAAGATTGCACCATCACATGCTGGGGGGCCCACTGACCTGCTCATTGGATACCCTGTTAATAAGATGCTTATTAGTTCACTCAGACAGATAACTTGGATACTTGTCCGTTTTCTGTGCTGTGTGGACCAACTGCTACCCTCTTCAGTGGGCATTGCCTCCTCCTCTTCCACTTTTTGTGGACTTTTGCTCCCTGCACACTTCACCAGGAAATCTGATGCCATCAGGCTCATTCTTAGAATTCAGTAGATTTAAAATTTTTTCCTTGGTTAACTATCCAGGACCTTCATTAATTTTTCCCAGATACATGGAGTGTTCTTCCCTCACAGTGACCCAGTCAGTGTGTTGCCCTCTGCCCTAAGACCTACCTAAGACAGAGCCAGTGGGTCTTTCCTGTGAGAATGCAAGGAAGGGAGCTGAATTCTCTGCTCGTGGGCCAGAAACAGATAGGCCTTAGTCCTACCCCAACCTGACTGGGTAAAGTATCTGCAGGAGCCATACCTAGACATGTCTCTAGTTTCATTGTTCCACATGATGCTATACTTGTTCATTCTACAGCATTTATTAAGCTTTTACTCTGTGCTGTCAGTGCCAGGATATGGACATAGAACAGACAAGAACCTATGTCTGATGGAGCTTGTGTTCTGGAGGGGGAGTAGGCAGGGACAAAGTGAGTTCCCTGTGGAATTTGTTGTTATTCTGGGAAACAAGAATGGGTGGTGGTATGTGAAGATCTGGAGTGTGGCTTCCCCTGAAGGCATCTGTGGAACAGAACCTTAGGCACAGAACTGAATGGACAGAGGGACAACTGAAGGCCAGGGAGTGAGTTCAGAGACCCTAAGGCAGGAGTATGACTGCCACATTCAAGGACAACAAGGATGTCCTTATTGTGGGTTGGGAGTCTGTTGCCGTGGAAAGGACCAGGCTTTCTCAGGGTGAGGTGAAAGGCAAGTTTTGAGCAGAGCAATGATGTGTTGTGTTAAAAATATTACCAAGAGGCAAGACAGAACATGGGTTAGTTTTGAGAGGCTGTTAGAGTGCCCCACATGAGAAACAATCATAGCTTGGAGAAGATGGAGGTTGTGGGATGGTGAGGGGTTCAAACCTGGTGATGGCAGTTTTTAGGGTTCGCTGGCAGTCCGGATACAGTTAATGCAGCCAAAGAGCCATGGAGGAGGATAGTGTTGACCTTTGACACTGGAAGGGTGGAATCCTATGAACTATAGTAGCATCTGAGTCCCTGTTTTTGCACATAGGGTCCATAGGTATTTGTCCTGGGAGCAGAATTACCAGGTCACAAGTGATGCCTCTCCATCCCTTTATATTGAGCTGGTATTAGGGTGTACTCCTAATACCATTATGTGTTCATCCTTTTTTTCCACTTTGCATTTCTTGGAAATTGTGCATATCAATTCATATCAATTTACCTCACTCGTATTGATGATATTTCATTATTTGGATGTAGCCTATTTACCTAAGCTTCCACTAATAGCATTTTGGTTGTGTCCTTTTCATTATTTCTTTTCTTTTCTTTTTTGACGTTTGGTACCAGGAATCGAACTCAAGGCCTCATGTTTACCAGGCAGATGCTGCATTGCTGAGCTATACCTCCAGCACTCTTTTCATTATTTCTGACACTGTAGCATCTGTGCTCTGTATGTCTGCCTTATTTTTTAATTACAAAAATTAAATTTTATTTTGAAGTTAATGGCAACAGTATGTGCCTTTCAAAAAACAAGCAAGAAATCCAGACACATATAAAGAATATTCTGATCATCGTCTTCCACTAAACCATCCCTTCCATTACTACACTGTTGAGGTAATTTTTAATAGCAGGGTATATTCCTTAACATTTTTATTCATGTTCATGGTAGAATTTTATATTTAAAGTTCTGGTTACTACATTATCTTCCAAAATCTTATACCAATTTATACTTTGAGTACTAGCATACAAAATTCCCATTACCTCCACTTCCTCCAAAATTCACTGTACAATT